TCTCTCTCTCTCTCTCTCTCTCTCTCACACACACACACACACACACACACACACACACACACACACACACACACACACACACACACACACACAAGAGTGGAACAGCAGCAGTTATTCCTGATCAGGTAGAATGCAACTCTGTCTTGTGCCACCTAGTGGCTAACTATATAATTAAACAATCCAAACCACTGTAGTTGGTTGTTGTGGGTTTTTCAGGCTCTTTGGCCATGTTCTGAAGGTTATTCATCCTAACATTTCACCAGTCTCTGTGGCCGGCAAACAACTCCCAAACAAATTGCACCAGAGCACAGAGTTCCTACCCCAGTCCTCTGAAGATGCTGGCCACAGAGACTGCAAAACATTAAGAAGAACAACCTTCAGAACATGGCCAAAGGGCCCAAAAAACCCAGAACAACCATTAGATCCCGGCCGTGAAAGCCTTCACAAATCCACAGTAGCTCTCAATAGGTCTATTTCACCCAGAAAGTAGATAAATTACAAAAACTGTTCTTGGACCACAGAAATTCTGAATGCTGGTGTAGGGGAGGCAAAGTTACATAGCTAAATTCTTTTCCTTGGAGAAAGCTCCCTCCGTGCATTTCTAATACTGGCACACCAAGGAAAAGACTAGGTTCATTAGCCTTCTTGCTTCCATTGCATTGCTATAAAGAGGGTGTTTTTATTTAGAGGAAACACCAGTTCTATCAGGCCCTGTCTGCAGAATGTATGTGGAACAATCTCAGGACAATTTTGACATCTTATTGGCTGTTGTCTGATAGATGGAGAGAAAGATTTCCACTTGATCTTTTCTCGGGGATCCTTTGAGCCAACTTGGTGATACACTGTTAACTCACTGTTGCAAAACCCTGGTAATATTTACTGTTCACTTCATTTATCATGCACAGGTAGCCTATTTTTCCCCTGAGAAATTCAAGTGGCTGGACACCACTACCATCTTCTGCAATAGTTAGGGTTGTCGGGTCTCTGAGCAACAGGTAAAGTCTCAGGAAATTGCTACAGCTTTTCCAGGTGGGGAGACAAGTCTCTGAGAGAGTAAGACTGGAAAAGGAGATGGGTTTTTGTGTGAGACAGCTTTGAAGCCTGAGCACTCATCGCCACCTATTCCCAGCTGTGCCAGTTGGGCCAAAGTGCATAAATCCACAAGCTTTCTCCTAATTGATAAATTGAAGATCCACAAGTCACCAGGCCGAGATGGCATCCACCCAAGGGTTATTAAGTAACTGAGAAATGAAGTTGCTGATCTCTTAACTAAAATATGCAACTTGTCCATTAAAACGGACACAGTGCCAGAGGACTGGAGGATAGCACAATTCATGCCAATCTTTAAAAAGAGAAGGAGAGGGGACCCGGGAAACTACAGGCCGGTTAGCCTAACGTCTGTTCCACGGTAGATGGTGGAAAGCCTAATCCAAGATAAAATCTTAAAAAACACATAGAAGAACAAGTCTTGCTGAGGGAAAATCAGCATGGCTTCTGTAAGGAGAAGTCTTGTGTCACAAACCTTTTAGAATTCTTTGAAAGGGTCAGCAGGTATGTGGATGCGGATGAACCAGTGGATATTGTCTGTCTGGATTTTCAGAAGGTTTTTTGACACGGACCCTCACCAAAGGCTGCTGAGAAAACTCCACAGTCAAGGGATAAGAGGACAGGTCCTCTTATGGACTGAGAATTGGTTGGGAACCAGGAAACAGAGAGTAGGTGTCAATGGGCAATTTTCACAATGGAGAGAGGTGAAGATCCGTGTGCCCTAGGGATCTGTCCTGGAACTGGTGCTTTTCAATCTGTTCATCAATGATCTGGAGACACAAAACTTTTCTGGGTGGTGAAGACCAGAAGGGATTGTGAAGAGCTCCAGAAGGATCTCTCCAAACTGGGAGAATGGGCAGCAAAATGGCAAATGTGTTTCAATATAGGTAAAAGGTAAAGGTAAAGGTTCCCCTTGACAATTTTTGTCCAGTCGTGTTCGACTCTAGGGGGTGGTGCTCATCCCCGTTTCCAAGCCATAGAGCCAGTGTTTTGTCTGAAGACAATCTTCTGTGGTCACATGGCCAGCGCGACTTAGACACGGAACGCTGTTACCTTCCCACCGAGGTGGTCCCTATTTATCTACTTGCAATTGCATGCTTTCGAACCACTAGGTTGGCGGGAGCTGGGACAAGCGATGGGAGCTCACTCCGTCACATGGATTGGATCTTACGACTGCTTGGTCTTCTGACCCTGCAGCACAGGCTTCTGCGGTTTAGCCTGCAGCACCACCAATATAAGAAAACGTAAAGTAATGCATATTGGGGCAAAAAATCAAAACGTTAATGGGTTCTTAACCGCATCAGGAAAGAGTTCTTGGTGTGCTGGTGGACAGCTTGATGAAAGTGTCAACCCAGTGTGTGGCATCAGTGAAGAAGGCCAATTTCATGCTAGGTATCATTAAAAAGGGGACTGAAAATAAGACAGTCAGCATCATAATGCATCTGGAGTATTGCATACAGTTCTCTTTGCCACACCTCAAAAAAGACATAGTGTAACTGGAAAACATGCAGAAGAAAGTGACTAAAATGATGACTGGGCTGGGGCACCTCCATTATGAGGAAAGGCTACAATGTTTGGGCTCTTCAGTCTAGAGAAAAGGCACCTGAGGCATGACATGACTGAGATATATAAAATTATGCAGGGGGATGGCTAAAGTGAATAGAGGGAAGCTCTTTTCCCTCTCATGCAGTACCAGAAACAGGGGACATCCACTCAAATTGATTGAGTGGGAGAATGAGAACAGACAAAAGAAAATATTTCTTGACCCAGCGTGTTGTTAGTCTGTGGAACTCCTTGCTACAGGATGTGGTGATAACATCTGGCCTGGATGCCTTTAAAAGGGGATTGGACAGATTTCTGGAGTAAAGTCCATCACAGGTTACAAGCCATCATGGGGATGTATACTCTCCAGGCTTAAAACGAAGGTACTTCAAAATGCCAGATGGAGGGGAGGGGTATCAGGAGACAACTATGTAGTGTTCTCTTGTGCTCCCAGAGGGATCTGGTGGGGCCATTGTGAGCTACAAGACTAGATGGGCCCTTGACCTGATCCAGCAGGGCTCTTCTTATGTTCTCTTACATTACAATTGCCCCTCCTACATAACAAATGTCCTCTTCCTGGTCTCAGGTTTGTCTCCTGATATCTCGAAGAATTGGTGTCTAGCCTTTGTGAGTTAGGTTAGGCTTGTTGATAGTATCTGATCCACTGTCATCCTATACTGACTGGGTGAATCTGAACACAGTTCTCCCTAGCTTTCCTTAGTTTCAAGCCTCCACTGCATTGCCTGAACATTATTCACTTAGAAAGAATGGGAGATGAATAATTCTTGCTTTTTTGCGCCAGAAGCACAGTGAATGAAATGTGTCCAGTTACTGTTTATCTGCCTAATTTACCTTTGAAAACACTCTTCATTTATCATTACCACAACATTTGTGTTTGCTAATGTCCCATTTTGCCCTGAAATAATCTTCAAAAGTCTTTCTTTATTAGTATTAAATTGTGCAACACTCTGATAGGAAGGAAGAAAGAAAGACCTTTGAAGATTATTTTCAGGACAAAATGGGACATTAGCAAACACAAATGTTGTGGTAATGATAAATGAAGAGTGTTTCCATTCAATTTGCCTGTGGGAAAGTTTCTTTTTTAATAAAAATATGCAATGGTGGAGGGGAAGAGGGTTCTATGAAAACCAGAGATGATCTACAAAGAGAAATAGCGTATCAAACATTACTCAGTGTCTCTTTGTGTTAAAATTTTGATGCAAAGAAATAGTGACAAGACATTTTGAACGTTCCTCTTCAAAACAAATAATTTTTATTATTTTGTTTTTGTTTGTTTCACCTGCCTTTCCTTCAATGAACTCTATTTTATCCTCACAGCGAGGTGTCGTAAGTTAAGCCCTGATGAGCCCAAGTGAAGAGCCCCAAATCTTCATGGCTGCATGAGGATTTCTGCTTTGTCTTCCTTGGTCTTACTCTGACATCCTAACCACTACACAACACTGGTTGTCCTAAGTGAATAATGCATATATATATATTATTTCTCCCATGTCTTTATCCCTTCCTTTCTTCTTCCTTCTCTTTCTGCAGACTCTCCATACAACTTCTCTTCTCAGATTGGGCTGGTCAGAATGGCCAACTTCACCAGTGACAACTTCTCCAAGGAGAGCACGGCCAAGTATAAGACTGTGGAGATGGTGTTCATAGGCACAGTGACGGGTTCATTGAGCCTTGTCACTGTGGTTGGGAATATCTTGGTCATGCTGTCCATCAAGGTGAACCGCCAGCTCCAGACTGTCAACAACTACTTCCTTTTCAGCTTGGCCTGTGCTGACCTGATAATAGGAGTTTTCTCCATGAACCTTTACACAGTCTACATTATCAAGGGCTATTGGCCACTTGGGGCTGTGGTCTGTGACCTTTGGCTGGCTCTGGACTATGTGGTGAGTAATGCCTCTGTCATGAACTTGCTTATTATCAGTTTTGATCGCTACTTCTGTGTCACCAAGCCACTGACCTACCCAGCTAGGAGGACAACCAAAATGGCAGGGTTGATGATTGCCGTGGCTTGGATATTGTCCTTTATCCTCTGGGCACCTGCCATCTTGTTTTGGCAGTTCATTGTTGGGGAGAGGACCGTTTCGGAAGGGCAGTGCTACATCCAGTTCCTCTCCAATCCAGCGGTGACTTTTGGCACAGCCATTGCAGCCTTCTACCTCCCAGTAGTCATCATGACCGTGCTGTACATCCACATTTCGCTGGCCAGCCGGAGCCGTGTGAGGAGGCACAAGCCCGAAAGCAAGAAAGAGAAGAGGCCTAAGCCTCTCAGTTTTTTGAAAAGCCCCTTAGTCAAGCAGAACAACAACAACTCTCCCAAAAAAGTAGCGGAGGTGAAAGAGGAGGCAAAAAATGGGAAGTTAGAAGAGCAACCCCTGCAACCATCGGAGACTACGGGCCATCAAGAGGAGAAAGAAACCTCCAATGAATCCAGCACAGTCAGCATCACCCAGACCAATAAAGAGAAGCAGATGTTGGACGTTGTGCCAGCAGATCAAGGGCAAAGCCCAGCCCTCCCACGCATGAACCCTTCCTCAAAGTGGTCCAAAATTAAGATCGTCACTAAGCAAACCGGCACTGAATGTGTCACTGCCATTGAAATTGTTGCAGACAAAGAAGCCAGCTCTACTCCGATCACCTTGTCAAACAGCCGTCCAGCTAACGTTGCCAGGAAGTTTGCCAGCATTGCTAGGAGTCAGGTCCGAAAGAAGCGCCAAATGGCAGCCCGGGAGAAGAAGGTCACCCGGACCATTTTTGCCATCTTGCTTGCCTTCATTGTGACCTGGACACCTTATAATGTGATGGTCCTCATCAATACCTTCTGCGACTACTGTGTCCCTGACACGGTGTGGTCCATTGGGTACTGGCTGTGCTATGTCAACAGTACCATCAACCCTGCTTGTTATGCCCTTTGCAATGCTACTTTCAAGAAAACCTTTAAGCATCTTCTTATGTGTCAGTACAGGAATATTGGCACTGCAAGATAATTTGGAATCTAGAGACTGCTTGGCAGAGCTGTTGTGGAGACTTCTTCTATTCTCACATCAGACAATTGTACTGTTCTAGCTATACCATTTGATTTCAGTCAGAACCTTTCAACAAATGCAGAATTAAAAACAAAGACACACAACACCTATCCGTATTCTTATGCGCTGCTAAACATGAAGCAACTCTTTCACCTATTTGACCCCTGACTGTGCTTCTCCAAAAGACAAAGGAGGAGGAAATCAGGGATTAGATGCTGCAGAAAAGTCTCACTATTTAACTGGACAGGGGTAGTGGATCCCACCCCCTGCCTCCTTCCTCCAGAAATACTGATTGGACTGTCATGGTCCTTTGATGTCTCTGGATAAAGAGAGCCCCTTGTTGGTGGGCATGCCAGTGCACGGGATGGGATAAGGAAATGGGCTGTGCCAACATGTGCCTCCATCCCTTGGATGCCATGAAGTCTTGGCACTTGTGTGTGGCTGAGAGTGTGTGTGAGAGTGACTAGGAAGTGGCAGAATTCATGCTAAGTAATTTCATCAACAACGGAAGGGGGAAAACAGAGACTGTCTCGTTACAGGTCACCAAGCTGGCTCTTCTTCCTGGTTGTTGGGCATGCTCAGAAGAGGTGGCAGAACGACTGCTTACTGCCATAAATTTTTAGCACTTTGGCCAAATAAGTTTCCAGTGTCCTTCTGGATTCAAGGGACTTGTTCCCCTCAGGGAATACTCCTACCACTTAACCAGCTTGCCTGATTAAGAGGCTTTCTAAAGAATTGACAACATGTCTCGGCACCTCTTCAGCTCCCTGTAGCAGGCAGATGCGTCAGGCAGATGGCTGGACGGAGAGACTTGTTTCTGTGTGGATAAAAACAATGACACCTGAAGTCATACTGAAAAATAAGGCCCAGATACACACAAACCACTGCAACCTTTCTGTACCACAACTTCTTTGACCACATGCCGAGGGAATGCTTCTGTGAAGATACTTGTGCCAGCATTAAGGCTGGCAGTCCTCAAGGCCGCAGAGTCTGAGGAGAAGATTCACGGAGCATCTGCAGTGGGAGAAGATTCCTGCACTGGGGAGTCTTTTCATGGATGTGTGGAGTCTTTGATGTATCCAGAGCCCTCCTCCTCCACGCCCTTGGCTTCTGTTACCTTTTTTTTTTTTTTAAGAGATATTTCCTGCACAATGTTTCCTTCTTATTCCAACGGGTCACCTGAGGGACATTTTCTTGAGTGACTCAGTTTGTGATTCTGATAAGAGGATCCTATGGGCAGGTGCTAGAGGAGGAAAACAGGCACTCCCTCTCCCCTCTCCCCTTTCCCTTCTGCTCCAAGTGCCTGAGGGCATACTGAGAAGATAGTCCTTGAGCTTTGTAAATGGACATATTACATCCTTTCTAGCCAGTGTTGTCATGGAGTCCTCAGCATGTGGGCTCCGGTGTAAGTGTACAACCTAAATCCCAGAATATTCATGTTTCGTCTTCAGTGCCATCAAGCTTCTCCAGATTTCATAAGCGCGTCAGAACCCTGAGGGCAGAAATCCACGGCCTGACCTAGACTGGGCTGGTGCCAGATGACTGGATGGAAATCTCCATATCATGGTGAAGGGCTCTCAGCTGGAGAGATGCCATTGTATTTGGCTGCTGCTTCATTCTGCTGGGGAGGCAGCCGCCACCTTGCCACTGCCTTTAGAATAATTTGCATAATAGTTCCCAAAATGCCTTGCAGGTTTTTTTTTTAAAATTGTTACAGCTACAATGAGACCCATGTAAACGAATAAAGTAATTGTACTACGTATGTCAGATCTTTTGGTCAGTTCTTGTCAAGAGCCAAATTCCAGACATTAATCCCTTGAGGTAACCACATGCAGGCATTTGATGCATTTTAGGTGGTTAAACAGAACAGCATGCAAAATCTAGAGCGGATTAGTCTGCTGTTGTCATCATTTAGGAGATTTTTAAATAATTGCTAGGATCACAGGATGGATCCTTTGTAATCTCTGCTCTACTGATCATGGGCTATAGAGTTGAGATGGGGAACTTGTAGGTGTTGCTGAACTACACTTCCCAGCATGCTTCACAACATGGCTATGCTGGCTAGAAAAGGAGCTGAAGTGTGGGAACTTCTGCAGGGTCACATTTTCCCCATCCCTACACTGTACAGGTATACAGTGTGTCAAGGCAAGCTTATGGAAAGTAAGACAAGGAAAAATTATGGGAACTGAGGTAAGGAAAAACTGTTAGCCAGAACAGCGGATGGGCATGGTTGGCCAGGATGGTTAAAGATAATGCAAGCATGTGCCATGCTTGATTCAAGGCATGTACATGCATTTTGCTGCAAATGTTCCCTGCACCTTGAAATGCCCTCAGAACAGATCATGTGTGATAAATTGGAAAGGAGAAGCCTCACATCGCTAGGTGATCCTCCATTCCTCTTTTCCCGCATTTGCTTTCCAAATCAAAACATGTACATGTGGGGCCTCACAATTTTGAAAAAAGCCCAGAGGAAGAAGAATCACTTCCCCCAGTGCTGAAAGACCAGAGAGAGAGAGAGAGTTGCAGGCAAATCTCTCAAGGGAAGAATCACTTCCCCCAGTGCTGAAAGACCAGAGAGAGGGAGTTGCAGGCAAATCTCTCAAGCAAGGTTGTTTCACAGCTGAGGAGCCCCTGCCGAGAGGGCCCTTGTTTCAGGTAGCTACCGACCTCACCCAAGGAAGCACTTGAAGATTATCCTAAGATCCAGGTAGATGCAGAAAGGAGAAGGAGGGGTGCTTTTCAAGTAATTTGTTCCCCCAGTGCTGAAAGACCAGAGAGAGGGAGTTGCAGGCAAATCTCTCAAGCAAGGTTGTTTCACAGCTGAGGAGCCCCTGCCGAGAGGGCCCTTGTTTCAGGTAGCTACCGACCTCACCCAAGGAAGCACTTGAAGATTATCCTAAGATCCAGGTAGATGCAGAAAGGAGAAGGAGGGGTGCTTTTCAAGTAATTTGGTTCAAGCTGTATAAAGCTTTAAAGATTAAAACCAGCCCTTCAAATTACTAACCCTCTGTCTAGGAGGCGATACAGTTCAAGCCTAAACTGATCAAGCCACCCATCAGTTCCAGTTAGTAACACAGCACTTAGTAGTCCAAAGGGGAGATACAAAACATCACTGTAGTCTGATTACCAGAAACGTAGGTAGCTGTGGCAGAGCCCACTCTATCCAGGGAAGGATGTTGATGTATCTTATTAGATGAAATCAATGAAAGTTGCTGGAGTTCACCTGAACCTCTAAATGACAAAGCTGAGTCAATAAGAATCTTCCCCCAACTCCCTCAAACTCGGAACCAGAATCCTTAGGCCAGCACAGTTGGTGGTGAAGGCTTCTGGGAGTTGCAGTCCAAAACTCCTGAGTAACCCAAGGTTAAGAACCAGTGCTCTAAATGACAAAGCTGAGTGAATAAGAACCTTCCCCCAACTCCCTCAAACTGGGAACCAGAATCCTTAGAGATTCATCTGAGTGGGTGAACTGCTAAACAACAACCCCTCCATTGGTATCATCAGTTTCTTTGCAACACTTCAGTCTACTACCACACTCACAATACTGGGTCTGCATTTTATGGATTCCTATTAGGCATCTTCAAGACAAATGAAACACATGCAGAATAGGCCAAGAAAGAATCATTAGCAGCAGATAGAAGCATGGTGATAGAAGCTAATAGAAGGGGGTGCATCACCCCAAAATTTCAAGGTTAGGTATCTCTTGGACCATAAACACATGCAGAATAGGCCAAGAAAGAATCATTAGCAGCAGATAAAAGCATGGTGATAGAAGCTCATGTGCAAGAAGGGGGTGCATCACCCCAAAATTTCAAGGTTAGGTATCTCCCTGCTTGGACCATGAGGTGTTATGGATAGATGTCTTGCAATCCAGGAGCCCTACTTAGTCAATAAAGTGGGAGCATTGGTATTAGGTGCAGCACATCCTAAGATTATCACTAGAACAGCAAAGGGGAATGTGTGGCCCTCCAGATGTTGACACACTGTAACTCCCATCGGATAAGTCAGTCTTCGCTACCATAGCCAATGCTGAATGGTGAGAATGGTAGTTCAGCAATATATCAAGGGCTAAATGTTCCCCATCTCTGCATAAAAAGGTTTTCTGGCTCGGACTAAAGGCCTGTCTTAGGTTCATGCTTTCATGTTGCTTTGGTAAATTACAAGTATTTTCATGTTCCTTTATTTTAAACCAAATAGTTCCCAGACTTGTGACCCCAGGTGTTCCATGACTACTGATTTCCACTCATCCTTGCTAGTATCCATTGCTCTCAGGAGTTGTATTCAAGAACATGTAGGGATTTTTTTTTGAGAACCTCTGTTGAAAATTATTTTCACACTATGTTTAAACTTACAGAGTGGGATAGGAATATTTTGTTTCATGCAGCCTGCTGTTCTTGTAGCAGTCACTTGGCCACTTGAGGGGATTCAGTCACCCTCTCCTGCTCATGTCCCCCCAGCTGCTGAGATGGAAGGTAATAAGCATCTGCCACCACTGGTAGCCATTGATAGTCTAATCCTCTTTTCAAAGCTTTCCAAGCTGGTGGCAGCTGCTACATTTTTTAAATGGGTTGAATTCTGTAGCTTATGTGTTGTGTGAAGAAAATTCCCTTGTGTTTGTTCTGAAGCGAGTGCAGGAATACAGTGCACTGATGAAAAAAGGGATGCTGAAAACAAGTAATAAAAGGGGGGAATCTTTGCTACTCTTTTTACTCTGGGGGAAAATGGTATATTTACATGGTCCAGAGTCAAAGCTTGGAAAAGTTTTTAAAAATGGATTACAGAATCCCTCAGCTAGGACAGCTAATGATTATGCTAGCTGTGGGGTTCTGGGAATCCCACAGAATGGAGACCCCCCCTTCCGCTTCCATGATTCATTGCCCCAGGAGCAAGGTGCTTGTTGACACTTGGGGCCCTTCACCTTCCAGAAGAATATCCCCTGCCATTCCAGAGAAGCCACCCAGAGCATTTGCCCAGGAGAGCTGGTGATGGCCTGGCAAGTTGTTTGTCCTGCCCTTTTGTCTACTTCCAGTCCTGCTGCAGCATGTCTAGCCCTGCCTCACTAAGTCTGGTAGCAATTAGGCAGCATTAACTGAGGAATTCCAGGGAGCTGGGGAGCCTGGGGCTAGGATTTTGTTCCTTCTAGGGAAGAGGTGCACAGAGAGGAAGAGGAGGGATGGGCGGACATTCAGGCAACTGTCCTTGCATGAACAGAAAGGTCCGGGGGGGGGGGGGGGGGGGCTTGCGATGGAGGA